TAGTCATCGCGCCATCTTTCCTTCTCGCCAACCCGTTGTCTCCGCGCCATCTTCCCTTCTCGCCGCGCTGCACTCCTTCGCCGCCCCCTAGTCATTGCGCCATCTTTCCTTCTCGCTGCCCTCTACTGATCTCGCCGCCCCGCGGTCTTCGCGCCCAGAAGTTCATGGAGTGTGATCGGAGGCGTGTTTGTGGGAACCGCCATGTCGGCCCGTGGAGGCGGACGGGGGAAGGGCGCCTTAAACCAGGGCCGCAGGTAGTACGCGAGATGTTAATGAGGAGGTGGTGGAGGAACACGAGATAATCCACGAGGACGACGACTTTGAAGAGGAAGAGGAACAACCGCTGAAGAGGAAACCGAGGGCGAGTTCTGGGGGGGGGATAAAAATCAACGAAGGGGGGGACGAGACACCTTCCGCACGACGTGGCGGTGGGGGTGTCACGGGTGGACACGCCGACTTTGTCGACGTTGAACGCGATGTGCCTAGGAGGGAGATCGGCGGGCGTGTGAAGGAAGGGGTCGTCGCGCATGAATCTGCGCAATGCGCGCAGACGCCCTCGAAACGCCTCAACACCCCGCCTGTAGACGTGGCGGGTAGTTCCCAAGCGGCGGTCCAAGGTGGGGCATTGCGATCTCCTTCGACGGTGCCGCGCGGCGGCGCTGTTACGGTGGCGGGGGAGGCGGGGGAAGTTCCTAAGGCAGGGGATGACGGGGTGGTTGCGGAAGACGACGAGGCTCTGGTGCACAGGCTGCGCGGGGCACGTGCGACATCACATGCAATGGATGCTGCCACCAAACTTTGGGAGGACGACACATGATTCTGGAACGAGACGCAGGGGAGCGCCATAGTGAAGATCATCCAAGAAGCGCGCGCGTATCTCGTGGCATTGGCGCGGGGAGTGCAGCCTCCGGCTATTCGACGGAGCATCTCCCTTCCACACAACATCCCCTAGCACAAAATCGAGGATGAATCAGAGTTCAATGCGGCGAAAAAGAGGATATTGAAGGTGCAAACAATCTCGCTGAGGGCGATCCACGGTTGGGTCTTCAAGTCCGAGAGTAGACAAAGGGGGTATCACTTGGCGTACCAGTACACCTTGAATCACTCAGCCACTGACATCGCTAGAGCGATGTGGTCAGCAGAGGACTGGCGCGCTTTGGTCAGCCCGATGTTATTCCGCACCACACTGGACGTGGATATGAAGTTGCCTTTGTGGTTTGTCGGCACGAACATAGTGGACAGGCACGAGGACGACGAGTGTGCGGCTTACCAGGAGGCTTGTGTTCAGCGTCTGGTGCGGGATTTTACGAGCGCAGTGGGCACGACCGAAGCGATCGACGGCGGTCATGTATCATACGAGCGTCTGAAGGCCATGGCAGAGGCGATGAGGTACTTGCTGGCCGCAACAATGTGGATAATCCGAATGGCAGGGGACGATCCAAGATCTCATTACGACGCTTGGGTTTTCGTGCAACTGTCTGAGAAGACGACGCTGCTTGCGTCCATGAACCGTCAATTCGACGCCCGCCGCCACATCACGCAAGCCGCGCAAGTCATGACGGACAAGTTGGGGAGACCGCCTCCGACCTTCGCCCCCCCACCTGTCTACATCCCTGATTGGGTGTCAAAGTGCGGAGTCACTTTCTCGCACGACGCGACGTTGGCCTCCCCGATGGAGGCAAAAAGGTTGGATTGGCTGGGGACAGGCCCCCCCGAGGGCTGCGATGAGGATGACGACGGTGTTGACAAAGGCCAGGGTGGGTGATGTGGATGACATCGCGATAGGGAAGGGGATGATGCCGTCGCTTCTTTGACGACGGCAACAAACGCAAGCAGTCACTCCACGGCAAACGGTTTGTGTAAATACTTTGCGTGATCGGGCGTGGAGCGACGATTCTCGAACGACATATCCGTCTTCCACCGACGTGGCGAACACTCTCTATTTCGCCACGACCTGTCCTGATCGTAGGTACAGGAGGAAGGGGGTCTGGGGTTAGGGGCTTTCATGCGGGGCATGGGGTGGGTACTGAATGGGCTTATGGGGAAGACAGGGAATTTGTGGCAGCGTGGGTGGTTGCTTTCGGGGCAGGAGTAGATGAGTAGGCAGGTATAATAGGCGGCGACAACTGCATTTCCGTGGGCCCGCTCGTCGTTCAACCATTGTTGTGTAGTACTGTGTAGTTCTCCGCAATTTTGTATTTAGTTTTTTTTTTTTTTTTTTTTCCATTTTCGTTTATTGGGTCTTGCCATCTTAATGTTATGTCTATCGACCGGACAAACAGATCTGCAATGCCGTAATCCGGACGTCCTTCCGTTTACTGATCTTGATGATCTTCAAAGCCATGCCTTGTTTTTGTTTTCAATCGATCCTTCAGTTTTTATATGGCGTATTTGAGGTGGGGTTGCTTTGTTCTCATATTGAATGCTGATTGTTGATGGCGAGCAATTGAAGCATCCAACTATGTTTTCATCGTTCCAGTTTTCGAACATCCAATCCATGCATTCATCTTCTTTTCCATTTTTCTAGAAACCGATTGCAATGCGAGACGGGATTGGAAATGCATAAAATTGGGAATGGCATAGGTCGATGTAGACAAAGTGATAAGAATACTCCGTTGTCAAAAAGGCAAAAGCCTTTCAAGGCAAACGCATTTCCATTCCGCAACCAGATGGATGATCTCCACCCCCCTCCTCCCCCCGTCATCATAATCACTATCTCGCCAAATGGCACGTCCAACCGCGCCATGCGGACTCCGCCAACGACGACATCCACCACCACCGATTACAATAGTGCACTCGACACTGAGTGCAACCGCGCCCAGTGTTCGACACAGAACAAGTGAAACAAAAAAATATAACGAGCCCCGAAAACCACAACTAATCACCACACACACGAAGACACCTACGCGCACTGCCCACCGGAGACACGTCATGCACTTCTCGCCAGAACTACGCTACCACGGGTCGACTACTGCGCCACAAAACGGAAGATTACCCCCCTGACGGACGAGGACATGGGTTAGACTGGGATGATGCACACTGCGCCTGATGACAATAATACAGCACATCCCGACGGCAGCAGACTTGAGGGCATCATCGTCGTGAAGACACGAAATCGATGCTTCCCCACTTCACAGAGCTCCGTTCTTCCGCCTCATCAAGGTCATAGCGTGGTCTCCGCCTGCACACACGACCATCCTCAGTGCACACTCATCCGCTCCGCTAGCGCGTCCCTCAATATCAGCGCAATCGCCTGTTGATGACTCCATACACACCGGCCTCAATGGCTGATGCATCCCAAGATCGACTCTACGACGCACGCCGTCCGAACCCACCTCCCACAGCAGATTGTCGTCAAACGGGACGCCTGCGTCGATGAGTATGTTGTGGAGGATGCAGACGACGACAAATTGTTGCGGCAAGGTCTCCATGTTGCACTTGTGGGTGCGGAGGAACAACCTCCACATCCCCTTCAGTCTGCCAAACGCTCTCTCCACTGCTCCCCTAGCCGTCTTCTGTTTGTTGTCGAACCGTGCCTCCGACGGGTGCTGCGCGAGACTGCCGTAAGGAACGACTATCCATTCCGACGGGGGATAACCATTATCGTCGAGCAAGTAGCCATTAGTCCGCACACCGAAAGGCAACATCACATGCGGCCCAGTGAAAAGTTGTCCTTCCTCCACGCGCGCCCACAAACTGGACAGGTTCAGCATCCTCATGTCATGCACACTGCCCGGGTAACTGGCGAAGACGTCGAGCACACGCAAGTTCATGTCGACGACCACCTGCGCCTGCACGAAGAATCGACGTTTCCTGTCGCAGTAGTCCTCCCTGTTGGCGTTGGCGGGCTTGTCGATATAGATTTGGGTGCAGTCGATGCACCCATGGCAGTTTGGAAAACCCTTGTCTGCGAAGGCGCGCAAGACGACCGCCTTCTGCAAACCTGTGGGCCAGGATATCTTATCGGGGTACGCAGTAAGCAATGCCGCAGTGACGTCCCGCACCGCCGTGATGCCGGAAGACCTGCCAATGCCGAAGCTACACGTCCCGCTGTCGTATGTCTCCCGCCCACCTATACAGAGCGTAGGCGATGATGTGGTCCGGCTGCAAGGGCACCCTGTAGAACGTCACACGGCGTTGCAGGAGTGGGGAAAGAGTCTCCGCGATCTCGCGGAAAACACGCGGCGATGTTCGAAGCTTGTCCTTGAAGTACTCATCTGTCGCATCATCACATTGCCGCAGATCCTCCCACGTACCTCCCGTCCGCCGCTTCATCCACCACCTTGGAGTCGCCCGTGGAAACGCGCCGCACCCCATCGAGTAGCAGACCTGCAGCACCGCGTCAGAAATGGCACCGACGTCCAAGCACTGGCCACTCGTCGGCAGCGCAGACAGCTTGCGGCGTGCACGAACGGCCGCTTTGAACTTCCCCTCTCTGCTCGCGATTTGGCAACGGAAAAGGACGACATTCACCTCCGCAGTGACAGTCGTCCTCTCTGCCGTCGACAGACCGTCACGCCCGACCTCGCCGTCAATATCCATCCCCGACGCCGCTTCCAAGGACATCACGTCAATAACTACACACGACTGCACAAGCGCCGCCACATGGAAGAACACAGCACCGCCTCTGCAGACAACCTTGGACGCCACGCACTGAAGACGGTCGTGTGCCCGCGACGATGGTGAGAAGTCGATGCCGTCTCCGGTTGTGCACAAGCGTAGACCTGCGTACTCTTCGATGACAACCGTCGGCCACCATCGTCACTTATGCGAACGCCCCGAACGGCAGACGCTGATGCAATCGGGTGTGGAACGTACGTCCACCACGGGCCGCCAATCGCACAACAAGATTTCGAATTTCAAAATTTGAACTGTGCCCGTGCGCCTGTGCGCGCCATTTCCAATGGCCCCTTTTCTTTTTTTTTGTTTCTTTTKTTTTTGGTTTCCCGCCGTGATTCGAATTCGCGACGGCCAACAGAGGTGGACCAACGCCGTCCGCACGGACACAACTCGCTGGACCGCCCTCGCCCGCCCCCCCACGTCCGCTTGTGGATATATAAATCTGGCCGCGGGAGCCCCGAGGAATCGTCCTCGGGGGATGACTTCGAGGATGAGTGGAATGAAGGCGGGAATTTCCTCGGGCGACTCCAAGGAATCGTCCTCGGGGCCCGAGGACGGCCCGAGGAGTGTCGAACGAGCCCCATAGACCTCATCCTCAATCTGAGTGGCGAATGAGTAGAAGGATTGGGAAATCCTCGGCAGTGTGCGTCGAGGTAACGTGGGGAGGAAGTTGGTATCGCCATGATATTAAAACTCATATCTACTTCTTCTTTATGGTGTTCATTGTCTTCATTGTCTTGTCTTCATCCCGTGACACGGTGTACCCAACCACACTCACCCCTACGCAGCCACACTGCACATAGTACAATTTTTTTTTTCTTTTTCTTTTTTTTTTAGAAGAAAAGCCCTTGTGATATCCCTCTATCCTGGCGGTGGTAAGAGAACCGTCAGAATTGAGGGCTTATCTGTCGGGCTGCTCCATCTATTGGTGGGGAGCGACACCTGCTGGAAAACGGGTCCAGTGTCCCATTGATACAACTTACAATACAGATATAATACAGATATTGATGTTTGTTGTTTCCTAGGGCTGTGGTGATACATGTCTCTTCCCGGGGCTCCATTGTCCCTTGGAGCTGCTATTTTCCCCCTTCTCTTCATGGAGTACCTCCTTTACTATTAGCCCAGCCCTAGTTCTGCAGCCCCCTTGAAATGAGAGAGTCCTGTTCTGCAATTCCTCTGTGCAATGTTACTATGAGGTGTCCGTTTTAAACCCTTTAAGCCCCAAAACCCCTAAACCCTCTCTGTACAATTTCTACGGCGGTTACTGCGTGAAAGCACGTGTAATCCGAATACAAGACTCGAACACACAACCAACGGCTCGGCAGGCAAACACGTAACCATAAGGCTAAGTGGGCTGGGGTGAAAGTGAAGCCTCAACATGAGCACTTCACCCCACCCCAGCACGGACATCCCGCGACACGGTGTACCCAACCACACTCACCTCTACGCAGCCACACTGCACGTAGTACAATTTCTACGGCGGTTACTGTGTGAAAGCACGTGTAATCCGAATACAAGACTCGAACACACAACCAACGGCTCGGCAGGCAAACACCTAACCATAAGGCTAAGTGGGCTGGGGTGAAAGTGAAGCCCCAACATGAGCACTTCACCCCACCCCAGCACGGACATCCCGCGACACGGTGTACCCAACCACACTCACCTCTACGCAGCCACACTGCACACAGTACAATTTCTACGGCGGTTACTGCGCAAAAGCACGTGTAATCCGAATACAAGTTGTTGGACTGGTCTTCTATCTGCTATGCATACTGCTGCTTCTGGGCCTGCACACTCCAGACACCCACCCCCCATAAACCCATCTGAAAGGTTGAAAGGGAATCACCACCGCCCCCCGCCTCCAACCCCTAACCCCCCCCCCAAAGAAAAAGAAATAGCCCTTCAAAGTTTCATAGCGGAATCTGACAGATCTCAACGAGCGCAGTTGGATCCCGCAATCAAAAATAAAGAATAAAATTGGGCATTCTTTTGGCTACGCCGGTTTTCCGGTTCATCCCCCCTCTCCCCCCGATCCGGATCCGGGTGGACCGCGGTAAGTGAACCGACTGGTTGCCGTCCCAGCCCTGCACTATTGTATAAAAGGTGTGTTTTTGTGCGTGAAGAGGTAAATCTGGAGGGGTCAGAGATGGTTGAACAAATTGTCCAATTTGTACAAACAGCGGTCAGAGCCCAACGGGCGGCCGTCAAATCCAAATTACGTAATTTTCAACAAAAAAAAGACATCCAACAGGCAATTCTGAATTTCACTGTGGACTGGCTGAGGGGTGTTACTTGTCGTGGGTCCCGGTGAGCCAACCCTTCTACTGCTCTTCTTCTTGCGAACCATGTGGTGGAGGAGGTCGGCTCGTCGCCAGAAGAAGAAGAGTGAAGATAGTTTGCAGGGATGCGCGACGGTAGGGAGGGCCACGAGTATAGGTGGCAAAAAAAGAAAAGCTCTCAGATCGTTCTTAGCCGAAGGCAGGTAATGGCCCAGGTATTCCAAATGACTTGTATAATTCTATAAGGGACGCTGGGCCCGGTCCCCAGCATGTGTTGCTCCCCACGAATAGAGTGGAGCATTTGCCTGAAAAAAAAAAAAGAAAAAAAAGAAGAGGGGTACTGGGGGAAGGAGCCTGGGGGAGGTGACATGGACAGGAGAAGAGGGGAGGCAGGAACCCTTCAAAAGGGACTTCCAGCTCATCTTCAAGGACTGGTTCACACTTCGTCCAGGAGCTACTCGCAGAGCTCCAATCTTTTTTGCAGATCCATTTCCTCCTTTGAGCTTGCCCTTGTAGAGATGCAATGTTCTGGCTTCGAAGGGAATTGACAGTTTCAGGATAATCTTATGAGGGGCAGTGGTAGCTAGTGATGAACGTTTTAGCTGGTGCTGAAGAGGCAACTTTGGCTTCTCCTTTATCTGTGCTCATCCTTGAATGTTATCATGGGACGCTGGACCCGGTTTCCGGGAGGTGATGCTCCCCAAGAATAGATCGGAACCACCTGCGAATATAGCTAGGGGTATATGCTTTTATCATTACCGCTAGCTGTGTTTTGTGGGTGTCAAATCCAAAAAAAAAAAAAAAAAAAAAAAAAAAAAAGAGAGGCTACAGGCAAAAGGAAGGAGAGTTGCTGCCTCTCTTCAATGTTGCTTGAGCCTTTGAATGCGGGCTTTATGAAGGAGTAGGAGACAAAGAGAAGCAGAGCAGGCACAGGGGTTTAAACCACCAGCACCTTTCTCAGCGATGGATGCTGAGCCTAAAGTCGCCCTGCACGCCAAAAAAAAGGAGCCGGCACGGGCCTCATTTTGGCTGGTGCTTACCAGCCATTTCAGTCCAGTTCCCGAACCATCGAAAGTTGCCCGTGTTAACCGGCGCATATTTGTTTTTTAAGTGGGGAAAGGTACTGGCGGCTTAAGTATTGTGTGGTCCTCTAGGTATGTTTCTTCACATCTGTTTGGTACAGAGCTGGAAGCTGTTTGATAGAATGATGGAATCTTTTGACAGGTGACAGTCGATTGTTCCGTATGGCATTGGGTGCAATCAATGTTGTCAGAGATGATGGGGGCTGAGCTCATCGATTGTGATATTTCCTAGTGTATTTGACTGGGATGCTGGGCCCGGTGTCTAGCAGTGCTAATGGATTCAATGGAGCCATAAAAAATTGCAGACTCCAACCCAGGGAGTTCTCTCACCACCTCAGAGTCTTCGGTAGTTGTCTGCCCCTGAAGATGTTTTACTTAAAAGACGAAAAGACCAGCATATAACTTCTGGCAGCCTCACCATATCCCGCCCCTCGTCCCCCTTCTATCAAGCTATGTTGCCAACCACCGGCTCCTGCCCCTCCTCCAAGCATATTACACATTGTGATGTGGATTTTACGATACGTTGGAACGGTCAGCGAAATCTGCTCCCATAGTTCTGACTGGACTGTGCAGCCAGGCAGGATGAGCCTGACAGACCCATCTGATCCAGAAAAAAAGACCCCTCTGGCTGACCCCACACCACACTAGCTCAGAAAATTGCACTTACTTGCAGATGTGGCCCGAAAAGTAGGCGTATAGCTGATCGTGTCCTGAAAAATAAGCTCAACTCAATACTCACAGACACATCTGACAGAAAAAGGGACCCTACTGACCCCACAGCAGGTCAGAAAGTAGGCTTCAGGGTGTGTGTTTCTGTTTCTCTTTATTTGAAAAAACAGCTTTACACGGTGTGCCTCACATGGGGTAAAGGTTAGGATCCAGCGGCCTAGCTCAGTTGGTAAGGCATCCAAGTGGCATTCAGGTCTTGGGTTCAATCCCCATTGGCTGTGTACCTCATGTACCTTCCTCGGCAAGCTTGGCGCCCGCCACCTAGAGATAGGCAGCTAGTCCCCCCAAGCGGCATTGGGCGGGGAATGCTTAGCCTGATGTTTATAGGGGGAGAGGAATGGAGACGAGGCACAGTGATTGGCCCGTCCAAAGGGCTCGGTCGTGATGCTACACGTGTGAAATTGGTCAAAGAAGAGAAGTGCTATGACAGACACAAAGGTCCAGCCTGCATGTCATCTTGGCTTTCTCCTGACAATGCTGTGGAGGAGCAGGAGGAGGTAGGAGGGTTTTGTAGAGAGGTCCTATTGGTTGGTTGGAGGGAGAGAGGGGCAGGAGCGAGCCAGAGGGAGGTGACTGCTCTTTGAAGGAGAATCTTTTCTTTTCTTTTCCTTTTCCCCTTTTCTTTTCTACTGCGAAGGAGAATCTCACCAGTACGTTTCCCATCCATCTTTCTCCAGCTCGGCGTGGGTGCGGACACAGGTTTTGTGGGTCAGCCTATCTGAGCAAAATCGCTCGTGACACCAGCCAAAGGACGGCCTGCGGCAGTTTGTTGCTTTTTGGCGTGCAGTGCAGCGCGTTTCGAGGCTCGGCAAGGGAAGGGTCAAAAGTACTGGTGATGATGCATGTGTAAAGAGTACTAAAGACTCAAGAGGACTTCCGACCAACAACTGTTCTATCCTGTGGGAGTCACCGTATGCCCGACCATAATGAGACTAAGGTGGGCATTGCCTCTACTGGACGGCATTTTGAGGACTCCAAAGGCTATTGAGCAATAAGCTCATTGGTCCGCCCACTCCCTTATTTATCGAGTGTCTGTCAGACTTGGTGCTCACCGCTGGGAAAAGTTTTTTTTGTCGTTTTCATCAATGTCATTCACGTTCCGGCTTTTGCTATTCCTAACAATCCTACCCTTTTTGAACTTATTAATAATGTGCGGATAAACATGTTCCCCAATGAGTCGCATGCGTCATGTTAGGCTTCGGACGCTGCCCTCATCCTTAGGCTGCTGGGACTGCATCCCTGAGGTGAAAAAATATAAAATCATTTAAAAAATCAAGAAAACTAGCAGATGTCCAACTCTCTCCGCACTGTCGACCTCCTGCTACTCCTCGCAAAGCGTCCAATTCCAAAAAGGTACCCTTTGTGGGATTTTTTGGGATTGGAAGATTCGGCCATTTTTGGGATTGTACGATTTGCCCATTTAGCTAGCAGTACATGGCCCCAGGGCCCAGGCAACTTGAGAGAAAGAGATATCCTCTCCGTTCGGAGGCTTGGGTCAACTGGAACCAAATGGCTGGCGGCGCCAACCAAATCGAAAACAAAAACCCACACTGGTGTTTCGGTGAAGCTTGGCGCGCAGGGGGAAGTCCTCAGCCTCCGATGCACTGGTGGGTTTTTTCTTTGCAGGCCACCCTTTTTTTTTTTTTTTTTTTGGAATGTGTCGAAGCC